ACAGTGGAGGAGGACCCAGATGTGTTCAGAGTGACAATATCAAACAGTGGAGAACCCAGATGTGTTCAGAGTAACAATATCAAACAGTGGAGGACCCAGACGTGTTCAGAGTGACAATATCAAACAGTGAAGGACCCAGATGTGTTCAGAGTGACAATATCAAACAGTGGATGACCCAGATGTGTTCAGAGTGACAATATCAAACAGTGGGGGAGGACCCAGACATGTTCAGAGTGACAATATCAAACAGTGGAGGACCTAGATGTGTTCAGAGTGACAATATCAAACAGTGGAGGACCCAGACGTGTTCAGAGTGACAATATCAAACAGTGGAGGACCCAGACATGTTCAGAGTGACAATATCAAACAGTGGAGGACCCAGACGTGTTCAGAGTGACAATATCAAACAGTGGAGGACCCAGACGTGTTCAGAGTGACAATATCAAACAGTGGAGGACCCAGATGTGTTCAGAGTGACAATATCAAACAGTGGAGGACCCAGATGTGTTCAGAGTGACAATATTAAACAGTGGACGAGGACCCAGATGTGTTCAGAGTGACAATATCAAACAGTGGACGAGGACCCAGATGTGTTCAGAGTGACAATATCAAACAGTGGAGGACCCAGACATGTTCAGAGTGACAATATCAAACAGTGGAGGACCCAGACGTGTTCAGAGTGACAATATCAAACAGTGGAGGACCCAGACGTGTTCAGAGTGACAATATCAAACAGTGGAGGACCCAGACGTGTTCAGAGTGACAATATCAAACAGTGGAGGACCCAGATGTGTTCAGAGTGACAATATCAAACAGTGGAGGACCCAGATGTGTTCAGAGTGACAATATTAAACAGTGGACGAGGACCCAGATGTGTTCAGAGTGACAATATCAAACAGTGGACGAGGACCCAGATGTGTTCAGAGTGACAATATCAAACAGTGGACGAGGACCCAGATGTGTTCAGAGTGACAATATCAAACAGTGGACGAGGACCCAGATGTGTTCAGAGTGACAATATCAAACAGTGGAGGACCCAGACATGTTCAGAGTGACAATATCAAACAGTGGACGAGGACCCAGATGTGTTCAGAGTGACAATATCAAACAGTGGAGGACCCAGACGTGTTCAGAGTGACAATATCAAACAGTGGAGGACCCAGATGTGTTCAGAGTGACAATATTAAACAGTGGAGGACCTAGATGTGTTCAGAGTGACAATATCAATCAGTGGAGGACCCAGATGTGTTCAGAGTGATAATATCAAACAGTGGAGGACCCAGATGTGTTGTGATAATATTGGAGGACCCAGATGTGATGACAATATCAAACAGTGGAGGACCCAGATGTGTTCAGAGTGACAATATCAAACAGTGGAGGACCCAGATGTGTTCAGAGTGACAATATCAAACAGTGGAGGACCCAGATGTGTTCAGAGTGACAATATCACACAGTGGAGGAGGACCCAGACATGTTCAGAGTGACAATATCAAACAGTGGAGGACCCAGACCAGACCCAGACATGTTCAGAGTGACAATATCACACAGTGGAGGACCCAGACATGTTCAGAGTGACAATATCACACAGTGGAGGAGGACCCAGACATGTTCAGAGTGACAATATCAAACAGTGGAGAACCCAGATGTGTTCAGAGTGACAATATCAAACAGTGGAGGACCCAGACGTGTTCAGAGTGACAATATCAGGACCCAGATGTGTTCAGAGTGACAATATCAAACAGTGGAGACCCAGATGTGTTCAGAGTGACAATATCAAACAGTGGAGGAGGACCCAGAGATGTGTTCAGAGTGACAATATCAAACAGTGGAGGACCCAGATGTGTTCAGAGTGACAATATCAAACAGTGGAGGACCCAGATGTGTTCAGAGTGACAATATCAAACAAACAGTGGAGGACCCAGATGTGTTCAGAGTGACAATATCAAACAGTGGAGGACCCAGATGTGTTCAGAGTGACAATATCAAACAGTGGAGGACCCAGATGTGTTCAGAGTGACAATATCAAACAGTGGAGGACCCAGACAGTGACAATGTTCAGAGTGACAATATCAAACAGTGGAGGACCCAGATGTGTTCAGAGTGACAATATCAAACAGTGGAGGACCCAGACGTGTTCAGAGTGACAATATCAAACAGTGGAGGACCCAGATGTGTTCAGAGTGACAATATCAAACAGTGGAGGACCCAGATGTGTTCAGAGTGACAATATCAAACAGTGGAGTGTGACAATATCAAACAGTGGAGGACCCAGACAGTGTTCAGAGTGACAATATCAAACAGTGGAGGACCCAGATGTGTTCAGAGTGACAATATCAAACAGTGGAGGACCCAGATGTGTTCAGAGTGACAATATGAAACAGTGGACGAGGACCCAGATGTGTTCAGAGTGACAATATCAAACAGTGGACGAGGACCCAGATGTGTTCAGAGTGACAATATCAAACAGTGGAGGACCCAGATGTGTTCAGAGTGACAATATCAAACAGTGGAGGACCCAGATGTGTTCAGAGTGACAATATCAAACAGTGGAGGACCTAGATGTGTTCAGAGTGACAATATCAAACAGTGGAGGACCCAGACGTGTTCAGAGTGACAATATCAAACAGTGGAGGACCCAGATGTGTTCAGAGTGACAATATCAAACAGTGGAGGACCCAGATGTGTTCAGAGTGACAATATCAAAACAGTGGACGAGGACCCAGATGTGTTCAGAGTGACAATATCAAACAGTGGACGAGGACCCAGATGTGTTCAGAGTGACAATATCAAACAGTGGACGAGGACCCAGATGTGTTCAGAGTGACAATATCAAACAGTGTGGAGGACCCAGATGTGTTCAGAGTGACAATATCAAACAGTGGAGGACCCAGACATGTTCAGAGTGACAATATCAAACAGTGGACGAGGACCCAGATGTGTTCAGAGTGACAATATCAAACAGTGGAGGACCCAGACGTGTTCAGAGTGACAATATCAAACAGTGGAGGACCCAGATGTGTTCAGAGTGACAATATCAAACAGTGGAGGACCTAGATGTGTTCAGAGTGACAATATCACACAGTGGAGGAGGACCCAGACATGTTCAGAGTGACAATATCAAACAGTGGAGGACCCAGACATGTTCAGAGTGACAATATCAAACAGTGGAGGACCCAGACATGTTCAGAGTGACAATATCAAACAGTGGAGGACCCAGACATGTTCAGAGTGACAATATCAAACAGTGGAGGAGGACCCAGATGTGTTCAGAGTGACAATATCAAACAGTGGAGGACCCAGACATGTTCAAGGTGACAATATCAAACAGTGGAGGACCCAGATGTGTTCAGAGTGACAATATCAAACAGTGGAGGACCCAGATGTGTTCAGAGTGACAATATCAAACAGTGGAGGACCTAGATGTGTTCAGAGTGACAATATCAAACAGTGGAGGACCCAGATGTGTTCAGAGTGACAATATCAAACAGTGGAGGACCCAGATGTGTTCAGAGTGACAATATCAAACAGTGGAGGACCTAGATGTGTTCAGAGTGACAATATCAAACAGTGGAGGACCTAGATGTGTTCAGAGTGACAATATCAAACAGTGGAGGACCCAGATGTGTTCAGAGTGACAATATCAAACAGTGGAGGACCTAGACGTGTTCAGAGTGATAATATCAAACAGTGGAGGACCCAGACGTGTTCAGAGTGACAATATCACACAGCTGGGGATAATAAGTCATAACTCTTGGTACAATAAACTATTCAAGGCATTGAACTTGGTTCAAATAAAAACAGACTACAATATAATCGAAGCTGTTTTTAGCAGGCTGAATGTGAAATTATTCCAGTGAACTGTGACTAAAAATGAAACAGGGAAGCTGAATAGCATGCACAAAACACACAAATCGATGTTTTGGCCGGGGCCTTTCTCTGCATAAACTAACTACTCCAACCACAAGCACCCACCTGGGAGTCACATGAGAAACTATAAAAATGTGATGTGGAATGAATAAAATAAAATAAATAAATAGTGGCAGAGTTGAAAGTGGTCAAACTGTTGGGTCTACCCCCACCAAAATAACAAGAAGAAGAAGAGGTGTCAACAAAACTAACAACGCCTTACAACTGCAAATCCCCACAATGATTTTCGGCAAAGTCCGAATTAACACTGGAAACAAAACAATGTTTTACTGGTTAAACAGTGGACAAACACAACAAGACAAATTAAAGTATTCAATATTGTCATAAGACATAAACAGCCTAGATAACCCAATTTTCAGGAGTGTCGATGCTGATATCTGCAAGGCCAATAAAACAATTGTAAGCAAGATCTCTGAAGACTGCACATCTGTGTACTGGCCAGACCTTTAACCCTGAGACCACTAAACAAAAAAAAGAGGTAATGTCCCCGTTAGAGACAGTAGTATTGGGAAAGTAATCCACTGAACCATAAATAAGAAGCTTAGTCCCTGATTGTTCCAGTGTGTGTTTTCCCCTCTGCACCTTTGTTAGGTTTCTTAGTTACAGTTAGTTAGTTAGCCTTTCCTCTTAAGCCTAGAGTGGCGCATAGGGCAGAGGTCATAGCTCTCCATGTCTTGTGGTTCGTTGCCACCTGCTTTAGGTCTTGGATGTTTGTTAGACCCATGGTTGAGCTTCCCTGATGATAGTTCTGCACAGGGCCTCTCTTGGCCTTTCCCCTTCCCGTGTCCATATAAGGGCATCATGAGGGAGTCTGGTTTTATCTATTCTGAGTGTATGGCTGACGTAGTTCCAGCGGCGCTTTCTTAACTCTTTGAGTCCAAAGGAGCGCATCATACCTAGAAACCCAATAAACGCATGGTGCGCCGATTTTATTACTTTCTTTACTACTCCCTGGGCCTGTGAAGCTAAACCTCCTAGGACTCAAAGAGTTTAAAAATTTAATACATTATCTTGCTTGGTCTCTCGTCTTATTTCTTAGTTACAGTGTAGTGGATTAACTCCACAAATCTTACCTGTACCAATGGAGATGTTTCTAGCAGGATCTGTTCAGACACAGGCATGGGGGCTACAACATCCTCACTTTGTTCATCTTGCCTCACCACAGTTGTTTGCTGATAAAGAGTTAAAAAAATAATATTTTATATTGTTAACCTTTATACTTTTATATTAATTATTCATGTTAAGCTGGTATAAAAGAGAGTGTCTAAAACACCAATTCTTCTTCTTCTTCTTCACTAGTTGTAAACTCTGGCAGAAAGTTCCGTTTGTTTGCCCACCTGTGGACTTAAGTCTTGTTCCACAACTTGAGTTTTGTGTGCACATCTGATTGACAGATGTGGCTTATTTGTATGCAGGCCACTGGTTCCTTGCTTCTCATGCTGAAGCACCTGACTTTGAAGGAAACCACTAATTAGTCCACCCTTAGGACTTGCTTCTTAGGAAGACAACTGGTCCACCCCCCCCCCCCCTTCTTCCCCCCCATTGGGTTCGAATTAAATGGATATATTAAAAATAATTTTTTTTAAATGTGTGCATAAGTGAATGGACTGAACTACTGATTACTTGATCGACCGAAGAATCAATTTCATATCGTATCATGCATTTCCCTAGATGATTTATCTGGGACAAAAAATTTCATAATGTAGAATAGCTCAAGCAAAGGTATCATTTAAAAAATGAAAAATATTCTATGCAATCTTTTATGTCAATTGAGTCGAGTATGAGAATTCTTAAAAGCTATATAAATCCTATCCTGATATATGGAAATGAATCACGGACAGTTAGTAGATTAGTGAAAAATTATTCAGAAGCTGCAGAGATGTGGCTTTATAGATAAAAAGAGCAATGAAGATGTCTTGAAAGAAACTGACTCACAAAAAAAAGCTGACTGCCCACATCAGAAAGAGACAATCTACATTCTTTGGTCTTGTAATGAGAGGGAGAAAACTGGAATACATCATAATAGTAGAAAAGTTGAAGGGAAAGAGAGGCAGAGGGAGACAGAGAGAAGATGCCGGACAATGTGACAGGATGGCATATGACAGGGCTATTCAACTGGCGGCCCACGGGCCAAATCAAGCCCGCCAAGGCCTAGCAAGTGGCCCGCGGATCACTTCTAGCTGTATTGTATTTAAGATCTATCTACGCTAGGGCTGAGGCCTCTGGCCCATGACGATGCCCGTTTTGAATATTTTGGCCCCTGAGCCAACTTAGTTGGATAGCCCTGGCATATGAGATCATCTGTATCAGAGTTTACTGAAAAAGTACACAAGACAGAAGGTTTCAATGCGCAACCTCTCCCCCCCCCCCCCCTCCACCTCCTTTTTCCCTGTGATGCCAGTCTAGCCAACCTATCTGCCTGCTCACACCAAAACATGCCTGCATCACCTGGGCAAAATATCCATGTGGTTCACACCACCTGCAACATCTAGACTGATGTAACTCATTCCATACAAAGAGAACCTGATTCTGCTTTCCTGAGCATGATCTGCAAAGGGGATACCATGACAACATGTGTGGCTGAGATTGCCTCCACCCATAAGAATGCTTCAGTTACCGCCTCAACCTCTATTCTCATGCTGGATATGGCAACGCTGGGTGCCAAGCTCTCTTGTCATCCTTCTCCCCCACGATTTTGCAAAAAGCCCCTTTGGGGCTCTTTCTGCCCCTAGCTAATGATTCATCAGTGTAAATAATCGCATCCGCTGACCAACAGTTGTCCTCTGCTGTTGTAACTGCTTCAGCACGTACCATATTAAAAATTGCAATCACTTACTTGTGACCCCTTATCCATCACCTGAAACTCAAATAAGGTTTCCATTTCTGAGTTGTGCTCCCTCATATGGTGACTTCGCAGCTGCCCAGCACGTGTGAAGTACTGGTCACAGATATGACACATATACTGTGGTTTGTTCTGGTGCTCTCGTTCATGCCGCCTCCTGCTTGATGCATCACTGTAGCGCACCGAGCATACTGAACATGCATATGGTTTTTTCCCTATAAAGCAAACAAGTTTTGTTAAACAGTAATCACATGTGCTGGATACTTGGTAGTAACATGCTTATGGTTTTTTTTTCCTATAAAGAAAACAAGTTTTTTAAAGTAAAAAGTAAAGGACCTTTTTCCACACCTTTAGGGCATATAGGGCTAGACCTATATTTTTTTAGACCAATCGGCACAAGATGGGTGATGTGGTCAGCATCACGCCGGCCACCTTTAATTTTCCGGGACTGCACCCGGTACCCACTCAAGGTTGGGTCGACCTGGGAGCCAAGGTCATTTTCGAAATAAGTCTGGATCCGCCAGGGAGCGAACCCACGACCTTCTGATCTGCGGCGAGCGTCTACCCGCTCGGCCACAGTGACTCCCAAGTTTTTTTAAACAGTAATCCTATGTGCTGGATACTTGGTAGTAACATGCAGATGGTTTTTTTTCTCTATAAAGCAAACAAGTTTTTTTTAACAGTAATCATATGTGCTGGATACTTGGTAGTAACATGCATATGGTTTTTTTTCCTATAAAGCAAACAAGTTTTGTTAAACAGTAATCATATGTGCTGGATACTTGGTAGTAACATGCATATGGTTTTTTCCCTATAAAGCAAACAGGTTTTGTTATCATATGTGCGGGATACTTGGTAGAAACATGTCCTTAAAAAATATGTTTCCAAAGTATGTGATATTTCATTAAACACATTATTCTACTATGTGAAAGTACTAAGTAAAGGACCCTTAACAATCACATTCATTTTTCGTAATTACTGCCTGTGTTTTTCACTTTTGCGATGAAAGCAATGGGGGTTGGGGGTGTCTTAGAGCTAGAGATTTAAGACCTCGGCTAGTGTTGTTGCCACAGACTGTGCAGGTTAGAATTTGAATTTTGTCTCCAACAGCGAAATCCATAACCCTACAAGGGACTTGAACCTTGGTCTTTTGCCTGAAAGCCTAGTATTCTAACCATTTGTCCATTTGCTCGAACTCAACAAAACTTAAAACATAATGATATTTTTTTGCATGCCATCTTTTATCTTCCTAGTCAGAAAAGAAAAAAGTCAAAGGTATAACAAATTAAATAAATATCAAAAATAATCTAACCTGTATGTATAATTTTATGACGATTCAAATCAGATGCATGGGCAAATGATTTATGGCAGGTTTCACAAGTAAATGGTCTTTCGCCTGAAACCAGAAGAAGAGAATTAGATAAATTCAAAACATTTAATTACATATATCCCAGTGTGGGTTCCAGGTGCCCCATTGTTGGGAAAACAAGAATAGACCAAGTGCCTCCTAAACAAGCATGATGTAGGAGGCAACTAATTAGGAGCTTCCTTCGAAGTCAGAGTGCATCTGCCTTAGCAGCAAGTAAGAACCACCTGCACACAAATAAACCAGAGTCTTCACCACCACATTACACAAGTATACAATACTAGACTCACAAACTAGAATTCATAAAATCAAAATGGTGATTTTTATTTTTTTTTCAACACAGTACAAATAAGTTGGGAGTCGCCGAGGTGGAGCGGCAATTCGACCCAGCCTTGTGTGGGTACCGGGTGTAGGCCTGGGCAGTAAAGGCAGCCGGCATGATGCTGACCACATCACCCATCTTGTGCCGATTGGTCTATAAAAATAAAGGTCTAGCTCTATATGTCGCCTAAAGGCGTGGAAAAGGGACCTTTACTTACTTACAGATGAGTCAGAAGGGCACAGACAGACAGTAGCAGTTCTGGAAAGGTAGCAAACATAAGATAGGTGAAATTAGTGAATTACAGTGCGGCTACAAAAAATATCAAGAAAATATATCCAACCAAACAACAAGTATAACCAGTCAGCATCACATGATCATTAACACAAATATTCAGTGAATTATGTGGCTAGAAAGCCTTTATCAGGACATTACATGAATGTACAAAACAAAATCTTCAATACCAGCATCTATGTAGCACACACCAAGGCTTGCACCACCTGACATGAATGGCAGAAGAAGAAGAAGAGGAAGAGGAGGAGGAGGAGAAGAAGAAGAAGAAGGAAGAAGAAGAAGAAGAAGCACAAACAAGAGTATACACCATCAAAGCGGCGACATGAAAAAATCATGACTATACATAAGGTACCAGAACTGGTGAGGGACCAATCAAGAGTTGTCCTCACATACTGTGATCAGAACAAGATTCTACAAATAATTTGTTACATGATGATGATGACATCTGTTTATCTGATTAAATTAAACAAAAACAGCTGATTCATCTGTTTATGTAATGATGTCATTAGATAAGAAAAAAAAAGGTAATCTAGCTCAGTTAAAAGTGAAACCTCTGAGAATAGATTTACAATTATCTTTAGATCCATTAAAGACAAAAATATGAATGAGAAGCAACAAAGAAATTCTCAATTTGTTGAAGCAGTATTAGTTATTGACATCATGGGGGCTAACGGACTGCAATGGTAGAGCATACTGAGAGAATGGAAGATAACAGAGAGAAAACTGTTCAGTGGACACATAATATCAAGGCAGATCTTCAAATACTTAGAATCACCAAATGAAAAGGCCAGTCAAGAGGAAGGCTGCCAAAAAATTATGGGGGGGGGGGGGGGGGGGGGATTGTACCCAATTGTTTTTTAAAAGGTACCAGAACACACCAAAAGGTACCAAACATTTTTTTCAAGAAAAAATTGTTTTAACGTTTTTGAAACACATTCTCCACCCCCCCCCCCCCCCCCATACATATAGCTGATTTATTAACAAAATATGCTGAAATAAAACTGAGTCATAAAAGCTCGAGCATCAAATAAACTAGAATGTTAAAGCGTGACAAAAGACATGAAAGAGAACAATCAGCCAATTGTCTGGATGGACACTCCTACATTGAGGGGCCACGCTAGCGCAGTCGATAGGAGACTTGCTTTCAAATCCAGCTGTGACTCGCTGCAGTCCACGGTCGGTGTTAAAAACCGGGCGGTTCCCGTGGTTCACCCAGGTACCAGAGTTAACACTCTTGGTTAATGGATGAACATCACTGTAGCTACGGAGTTGGGTGCGGACGGTGACACAGGCGGACAGTTTCTTATCAGCAGTCTGTACTGGTGGTAAAGCACTTATGGTTTATAACCATGTGCAATGATGCTGGTTCACATCTTCCAACTTTACCTTAACTCCTACATTGGCCTTTGAAACATAACCGCACTTAACCAGTCATGTCAAATGGTACATTTGCATCAACAATTGCATCATGCTAATTTTTATTACACTTTCAATCACTTTTTTGTGTGTGTAAAGGTTGAATACAATGCCAAAATTTAAAATACTGATGCAAATTCTAAAAACTACCAAAACATTGGGCATGGTACCAAAAGTACAGTCTTGCTTGGCAAGGATCAAATAGTACCTAATGTGTACAAAAGTACCAACTTCGACAGCCTGGTCAAGAAATGAATGGAGGTGAATGTTAAATGCTACAAACAACCTCAAGGCCTTAAGATGAAGATGAAGAATAATAAAAGAGGAACCATAAAACACAGTAAAGAACAGTACTAAAACTTTACCTGTATGTATTTTCATGTGTGACTGAACATAGACCTTCATAGCAAATCTTTTCCCACATATCCCACAGGCAAATGGCTTGTCATCGGAATGTGTTGCAATGTGACGTTTGAGCACTGCCAGCTGACGAAACTTGATGCCACACACATTACAGGACAATGGCTTGGCCCCAGTGTGTCTGGCCATATGCTCCAGGAGGCTGGCATTACTACTGAACTTCTTCTTGCACTCTGCACATTCAAACATCTTTATTCCTGTTGACAAGAAATGTGTTATGGTTCTTAACAAAGAGAAACCAAAACAAAGTAAAGGACTCATTTCCTTACGCTGAGCTGCATTGGAAATAGAGTATTAGGACGAATCTTTGGACCTACCAAAGATGTAAACAGCAGGTAATGGAGAGTGAAAAGCATCAACAAAATTTAAAATCTGTTTAAATTTCCACCGACCATTGGCATCATGAGAGCTAATAGATTGAAATGGCTGGGGCATATTGAGAGAAGGTCAGATGACAGAGAGGTAAAAACTGTATACACAAGGGAGATGATTGGTCACGAGGCAGACCAAGAAGAAGATGGAGAGATAATGTCCGGAGAGACCTGCAAACACTTGGTGCTACCAATTTGAAATAGAAAGCCAACCGGAGAGATGAGTGGAGGCGGGTGATATCTGAAGATGATACCAAGAAGATGATGGAGAGATAATGTCCGGAGAGACCTGCAAACACTTGGTGCTACCATTCGGAAAGAGAAAGCCAACCAGAGAGATGAGTGGAGGCGGGTGATATCTGAAGATGATACCAAGAAGAAGATGGAGAGATAATGTCCAGAGAGACCTGCAAACATTTGGTGCTAACAAATGGAAAGAGAAAGCCAACCAGAGAGATGAGTGGAGGCGGGTGATATCTGAAGATGATACCAAGAAGATGATGGAGAGATAATGTCCAGAGAGACCTGCAAACACTTGGTGCTACCAATTGGAAATAGAAAGCCAACCGGAGAGATGAGTGGGGGGCGGGTGATATCTGCAGCAATGAACCTCAAGGGCTCGGAAGGCTGAAGAAGAAGAAGAAGAAGAGCTGCATTGGGCACATGGCCTTAGTCTCATATTTGTACGGAGTGTCCCATAAGTTTCCATACACAGGAAAAACAAACATATCACCGAAGCCATTATAAGCATAACTCCAGCTGTGCTTATATGAGTTATTCAGAAGTATAGATTACACATCCAAACATGTTTTCGCAACAGTGGTAGTCCCGTAGAGCAAACTGTATAAATTATAATGATTTTCATGTTAAAAAAAATGTTTATTTTTCTATAAATGGAAACTTATGAGACATCCTGCATATATTAATCAGCATTCATATGGTAATGTGTTGAATATCATGCCAACCACTTTACTTCACAGAAGATTTCTCAGTATCCTTTTTAAAAATCCATCTCAATAGGGATTGGAACCTCTGACCACGGGGCCTGCAGATAAGTTTCATCAGGCCTCCCTAAGAGGTGATATCAAGAGAAAAATTAGCAAGAACATACATTCCCCTTTAGTGTTCCTTGAACTCTTTCAGTCCTAAATAGTTCTTTATTGAAAGCGGTCTAGCCTCAAGTAAGTCTTCTTCTTCTCCTTCGCGTTTACTCTGTAAACTCTGGCAGAAAGATCATGACAATGATCGCCCTTAAAATGTTGGCTGGGATGTTGTGTTGTGGTTTACAACTAGGCTGTGATATCTGCACCCAATGGCCCAACACATCTGATTTCAGCAAATCTCTAATAAGTCACCTTTTATGGCATGCTTGTTGGGGGGCAATACATCTGCTCTCTCTGCCTCCTCCTCCTCCCTATTCAATGGGCCCCAGAACCCACACAGGGATATAAATAGGTTCAAAACAGTATAATGAACTGTGAACTTAAATAATGAGGACACATTAAAAATACTGCAACATTCATTTGATGACATATTTTACTGTATCTTATCAAGCATATTATGATAGAAATTACAATACACAAAATTCCCAACAATCACAATCCACAGAAAATCTAGAAACCAACAGTATGAAACAATCAGTACCCAAATGACTCAGCTGATGTCTCCGCAAACTCTCCTTGGTTCTCAGCTGTTTTCCACACCCTTCAAAGTCGCAAGCAAATGGTTTCTGATCTGTGTGTGTAATCAGATGAGCCTTGGCATTTCCTACAAATAGACAGGATATAATTTTTACCTGGTTTTTCCTGAAGACAAATTAGCTCTTGTTAAACATAAATTAAAATTCTAGATAAATGTAAATTAAAACTCATGATAAACCTAAATTATAACTCATGATAAATGTAAATTAAATCTTGTGATAAATGTCAACTAAAACTCATGAGAATGTAAATTAAAACCCATGATAAATGTAAACTAAAACTCATAAGAAGTCCTGTTCCAAAACCTGAGTGTTGCGTGTGCATCCATTTTACAGATCTGACTCATTTGTTTGCAGACTGCTGGTTCCTTGCCTCTCAGGCAGATGCACTCCGACTTTGAAGGAAGCTCCCAATTAGTCGACTCTTACGACATGCTTTTGGGGAGGCAGTGGATCTATTCTTGTTTTCCCTATAATAGGGTCCCGTAACCCACACAGGGATAAATTAGAGTTGTTCATTACCATCTCAGCTCATGTTTATCTAGTCATATTATTCTTAATACTGACTGTTAATGAGGAATCGTGAGGCCGCTAAAATTATGAAAAATAAATTAGCAGGTGTTGTTTGGTACACACTGTATAAACAGCTTCTAAATAACATGTGTTTATGATGAAGGAAACAAAAGCAACAGGACATGTAAGGCACTGACCTCGCAATGAGAAAATACGAGCGCATATCCCGCATTTGAAACCAGAAGGAACTTTCGTTATGGTTGTTTTCTTCTCTCTTTCTTGGTTTACTCCTGCAAGCAATATTAACACTAAGAAACATGTTATTGTGTGACACAGAGGTTAGTGAATACATTTAACAATTTCGTGACCTTCCAGTTTTAGGGTTGAATTTCTGCGGTAGATTGTTTTTGTTTGGTTCTTTTTCGTCTTCTTCTTCATTCATCCAAAGATGCTATTGCATTTTGCCTGTTTACAGAATGGCTGCAAAATCTGTGCCTTTTGGCTGACACATCTGACTTTTGCAGGCACTTGTTGACCCGGCTAGATTTTCCAGTTGGTTTTATGGGACACTGCGGTCTCACTGTTGTGAGGTCTTCTTTGCTTCCCAGGGAGAACATGAGCAATCCCCACCATCAAAGGAGGCTTCCATAAATTCAGAGCCAGTACATGGTGCTCAAGTACTGGGCTCACCCAAGGAAACATCTCGCCCTTCTGCTTATGACTGTTTAACATCACTTCCATACACTGAACATCTCATTCATCACGGGCTATGTCTTTAGAAGCTGGCAGTAGGCAGCCTGCAGGCTAGGAATGTAATTACCTACACACAAAAAGTACTTTGCTTCTTTTGCATGTTAGACTTTTACTGCAGTTGACTTCTGCATTCTCTATAGTTTCATATGACATTTCCCACACAGATGCCTAGGGGCATCCCGTGTGGCAGTACGGACAGACAGGCCTGTTTAAATTTCTTCCCATGTCATGGTTTAGGAACTCTAGGAACTATCAGCTCCTAGAATCCCTGAAAGTTTTCCTCTTCTTATACTTCGGCGGAACGGCAGTACACGAGACCCATTGTGGAAGATAGTGTGGCCTTACCAAAAAGAATTCAAGTATCTGGGGGCATATCATCACCCAATGGAAAAAATGAAAGCAGAGGTAGATAACAGATGTAATAAAGTTCTTAACCAGTGCCACAAATGGACCCTCTATTGTGACCACTGCAAATATTGTCAGGCTGTTGTTTTTGGAGCAAATCTACAGTAAGGTTATGGGTTTTTTCCTGTAGTAGTAAAAATAAAAATCTCGACCTGAACAGTCCGTGGTGAGAGCATTATCCATGCTGCCCTAAATTTTCAGTCTCAAAGACCCCCTCCACGGAGCAAAAGTGGTAAATACAGGCAGGCAGTAAAGGCAGATAGTTGTTTTTGGTTTGTATCTGTTCCATCTTTTTGACTGTCACATTATGGATGTCTCATTGATGATGTCACTGATCTCTCTTCCACTGGCTGGTCAGAGAAATGCACTGATGTGCATAGTAGCCACACTTCTTATATAGAACAGTTATAGACTGAAATGTTTTGGATATTCCAAGGGAAGATTACCAAAGAAACATACTGGGAAACTTCTAAAATCTCATAATACACCAGTCTGTAAAAACTGTAATAACTTAATAATGAGATTCACAGCAACCACAACAATTACAAAACATCAACATCTCAAATTATGCCTCACCTTCAGAACCATTCTTTCTTGGTCTGCCTGTAATGTGGTGAAAGCAAAACATGAACATATTAGCACGATGAAGGAAATCAAATAAATATTTTTTTTAACCTCATAAAACATGCTGAATTTTAAAAAGTAATTAGAAAACAGAAACAATAAGTCTTTTAAAAATGATATGTTTACTGTCACTAAATAGAGAAAAAAAATATTTGTAAAACCCCGCCTACAATTGGTACCTGGTAAAGTCAAGGAAAGTAAGAGTGGCCGGCGCAATGCTGACACACATCACTAATTGAGCTCTGATTGGTCTATAAATATAGGTCTAGCACTATATAAGCTCTTTGGTCATGTGATGAGAAAAGGAGCACTGGAAAATATTGTCACGAGTGGAAAGATCACTGGAAAATATTGTCACGAATGGAAAGATCACTGGTAGAAGAGGCAGACCAAGAGAAATGATGGTAGATCGTTTAATAAAGTGGCATGGAGAAATATCAGTGGAATTGATCCAGAACACCAAACACTGAGATCTGTGGAGATGCATGAGCGCCTATGCCAGCTGGCAAGGCACTTGATGATGAGGATGATGATAATGATGAGCATTATATACTAAATATGTCTAAGGGTGTGAGGAAAAGAGTGTCGGAAACTTGACTGGTCTGTTTGTTTTTGTCTTAGGAGTGTTGTTGATGTACTAAACAAACGAACACACACACACACAAAAAGCAACAAATGAGATAGTCTAGTTATCAGTAGAGAAGTTCATGGTACCAGCTGCCATACAGAGAAGAAATAATATACACAGAGAAAAGTGAAAACCATGCAAAAGATTCAATACTGGCATCAAAAACAGCTTTAGAGAAATGAAGATCCGCTGGTACTATTTTTAAGAAACAGCACACAGATGATCTTTTACAAAACCCCCCCCCCCCCCTTTTTTTTTCACACACAAAAAATAAATTACTTTGCCAAGGTAAGTGGAAGAAGAGAAAAAGTTTCACAAAAGTAATTGTGTGGGAGAAAGAAAAAAAAACAGTTTAATCCATTTCCATGCCATGCAGCATATTGTAATAGTTGCAAATTTTGTGAAAAAAAGTTAGAGGAAGACAATGAGAGATGATATCTGACAGACTTTTAGCGTGATATGAAAATATACCAGAACACAAAGAGATATTTTCCAGTGGCTACTCAAAGATGAGGAAAAGCAAAATCACCAGTGCAGATGTCAAGGCACCTGATGATGATGACGTGAATATATACAGTTTTTTAAAAATGTTATTGCCTGTCCTGATGTTTGGAAGTAACATACGGACAGTCAGCTGAATAGTGAAAAATTATACGGAAGCTGCAGGGATGTGGTTTTTAACAGGCAAAGGATGAGAACATCAGGAACAGGCAAAAAAATTTAATAAAGATGTCTTGATAGAAATTATCTCCTGGGCTTTCAAAAACAAAGAATAGACCCCTGCCACTCTATCTAACAAATGTGTCATGACTAATTAGGGGTGTTTCCCTTTAAAGCCACAGTGCATCTACCTGTGAGCCAAGCAACTAACAGTATGCATACAAATAAGCTATATCTGTAAAATAAATACGCATGCAAAACTCAAGTTCTGAATCAAGACTGAAGTCCAGGAGTGGACGAGCAACCAGAACTTTCTTCCAGAGTTTACAGCAAGTGAACACTAAGAAGAAGAAAAAGAATAAAGAAATTAACTCAAAAGATAAAAGATAAACCAGCATCAGATAGAGACAATCTACATTCTGTGGTCACACTGTGAGAAGGGGAAAATTTAAGCACACTGTGACAAAGTGAACATGGAAGGAGACCAAGAGAGCAGTTGCTGGACAATTTGACATCACGACCAGAGGATCATATGTGTCAGAAATGATATGTTGTAAAAGACATGACTACCAAAAACATATGATATAGACTATAATAACTCTGCCTGTCACTATACAAATCTCGCTGATCAATTATGAATATTAAATGATATATATCAGGGCTTTTTCCTAGAAGGAAAAAAGGTGCTGATACTCACAAGAAAGTGTCTTTTTTTTTATTCAAAAAGGTAGCCAGTACTCACCAAAAAAAAACCTAGTCTTCATAACAATAGACAGCTGTTTACACAGCAATGCTTACCTCTTCCTCTTCCACTTTTTGACTTCAAAGGCTTTTTATCCTGTTTGTCTGGATTAAAGGTGACATCCTCATCTTCTTCTTCTTCTTTCTCCTCTTCCTTCTCAGCAGTCTGAGAGCCCCCAGCAAATATCCGATAATCACTGAAATAAGTAAAACACAATTAATGTTTACATAAGGAATGTTAAATATAATTTGTAACAACATTAGGACAAATTATGGTGTGCGGTGATATTGGGAATTGTAGATTTGTTGTGTGTAATGTCACTAAAATGTTCAACTAAGGTGTGTAATCATACAAATAACTAACAATGTGTGTAATGACATTAACAACAGTCACTATTAGGTATATAGTGAAGCAAGAAAAGGAACCAATTTTGTTGAAATGAACATAGTAATCCAATGATTACATGACCAAGCTACAGAGTTGAGTGCTTGGTGCAACACTGTGAGATGTGGATTTCATGTTGACTGTTTTTTTCTTTTGTTGAGCCACAAGGTTTTGTGTTGTGAAATGCATTAAAAATGGTGAATTCATTACATTTGGAATGGTGTGTATGTATGCAGCATTGTATGTGCAAATGTCGGCGTTTGTGATTGACTGCTTGCTCCAACAATGAGCTGCACTTCTGGTGGTTCACTGTTAAAATCGGCACATATTACTTCTGCAGTATATATTTACTTTGCGTGTGTTAACTTCCAGTCTGCTGGGACTGATATGTGTATCACTAGTTTTTTTTAATGAGACAGTGAAAGACATTTTATGTGATGTCCACCAGGCACAGAAATGAAGCAGTTATAGGGTGACCCATCTACTGTGAAGCTGGAACCTCTACTAATGACTCACAACTAACTAAAGTTCCTCTGTTACTGCCATGAGTGTTGAAGGAAATACAAGCTTCTGGTTCTCGCTTTTTTAGCATACTCTGACTATAGACGCATGATACTGTTGTATAGTTTCCTGGACTTTCCACCTTGTTCTTCATCTACATCAAGTCCAACATCTCTTCCCTCTATTGGTGCAAGCTTTGTAAAGCATGTAAAGCTTTCTCTTTAACTATTTTTATAGAATAGCATTACTAGGCATTTTCTCTAAGTGGGCAAACCATTTCATTTGCTGATAAGAAAGAAGCATACAATCCTTTCACTTCTCCTGTAAAATTCCAGAAAGTCAGCAACATAAGAAAAACAAGGCTGCCTGAACTAGTCTGAAGATATAAACTCTAAACTGCTTTTCTTCTGTCTTTTTACACAAGAAACCGTCCTAATATGGCATGCCAGGTTGTTCTTCATTTGCACTTTCCTTAGCTAGTTTATCAGCTCTTTCATTTCCAGGAACTCAACGGTGGGATGGTATCCATTGCATAGTTATCTCACACCGGTTACCCAGTCCAGAGAGCAGTTTCCATATACCAGGTAATTTTTCAGATTCTATTTCCCGAAGTACCCATCTTGCATATGTCAGGAATATGTTGTGAAATGTGACACATATTTAGCAGTTTCTCTGCTGCTATTCTAATGGCTTTAACTTCTGTATCATAGTTGTGACAGTACTTTCTTGTTGGTATTTTGAGGCAGAAAGAAATGGTAGTTTCCTTAAGGTTACCTTGGTGAAACAGACAGTGTAGAATGTACTTGAATTTGTGTTTCAGTTTCTAGAATTCAGCTATTTGCTTCATTTATTCACTTGTTACTGTAGTATGCACCTGACGAGATACAGCAAAATACGCCAGGCAATAAATTGTGCAGTCTATTGTTTGTGTCTTCTTTGTTCAAATTGTAACCATTGTCTCTACAGTGTGATCATCTGCCTACTGGCAGAGAATTTGAGACCACAACACACATACTACACTTAAAAACTTAACAACACAAGAGGAAACAACAAAAACATTAACAATTACCTAAATTTAAGTGGGATGTATCTTTTACGAGCTGGCAGATAACTTGAGATCCTTTCAATATCATAATCGTTGGCTTGTATTGCAACTTCTCGAGCACATACATCCTCTTGTCTACTGTGCAGTTCTTGACTATGTCCAACAACTGTTGTACTATTACTTGCATTCTGTGCAGACAGGCAGGGTAGGAAAACAACTTTATTATACAGCTGTGGTTTACATAAATACTCTTACTGATATTTTTAGGCAGTAAATATTTCAGCTTTCGAGAAAGGATGCTAGCTAATAAACAGCATCCTTTCTCGAAAGCTGAAATATTTTGGTCATATCAAGCGCCACGAAGGATTGGAAAAAAATTATAGCAGAAGGCATGGTACCAGGAAGGAGGGGCAGGGGCCGACCGACACGAAGATGGGCACAGGATATAAGTGACTCCTGGAGTGTGAAAGTGCATGATGTGGGAGAACTGGCGAGAGACCAAGTTTCTTTCAGGCAGACTGTGATGAGAGCAACGTTCTGCAAAGGACCTGCTACATGATGATGATGACTTATTCACTACCATATATCCTTTTCATCTTCTTTGTTCACCAGCTGTAAGCTCTGGTGGAAAGTCCTGGATGTTTGTCCATTTGGTCTTTGGCTGTGTGCAAGGGTCTGAGTTTTGCGTGAACATCCATTTTACTGGTTTATTTGTGTGCAGTTGGTTGCTCCTTGCCACTTGCGCAGATGCACTCTGACTTGGAAGGAAGTCCAGCTAGTCACCTCCTGTGACACGCTTGTTGAGGAGGCAGTGGGTCTATTCTTGTTTTCCCTACAATGGGGCCCCAGAACCCACATAGGCACTACTGTATGAAAACATACAGCTGGTAGTCTATCCTTGTCTGTTATAGACACCACTTGTTCTTAGACAGTGAAGTGTGAGATGAAGGTGGAAACTGTAGACATATTTAAAGATAGAGATTTTATCTTCTTCTGCTTCTGCCCTTTATACTCCAGGAGCATAGGCTCTCGACCAACTCAAGACAAGTCGTTCTATCCTTTACTATTGCATACAGCTCACCCCATATCCTACCTATCTTGCACTCCCTTCTACAAATGTACAGACAGTTAATAAAATCAACCAATAAAGAACATACTCTTTGTCATAAGTGAGGCAAGAAAATTGTAATAGATGCAGTAACAACTCTTTGTCATAAGTGAGGCAAGAAAATTGTCATAGATGCAGTTACAACTGTTTTCTTAATGTTACTGATAAATTATTTATAACTGAAAATAAATTTACTGATTCATTTCCTAAGCTCTGTTTTGCTACATCTGTTCTTGAGTCACTGCTTCCGTTACATTCTGAAAATAAAGATAGAAATTATTTCATTACATTAGCCAATGGGAGCCATGCTAGAGGAGTGGCTTGTTGCTCACCTACCAGCCTGAAGGTACTGTAGCTTTTCATGTATAACAATGATATACTTTCACAGAATGTTATTCAAATAATTATTTCTCATTGATGAGCTTTAAAAAATAGGGGTGTATCTTTTGTTTCCATGTGGGATGCAATTTTTAGTTATTTTGAAGCCCCTCCCTTGCATCCCTTATTTTTTTATTTATTTTTTACAACCATTTATGACTTACTTACTGAATTCCCTTCATAGAATCTTACACCGAGCTTAGGATCCTTCAAAGATGCACACAGCTGGAAATGGAGAGTGAGAAGCAACAAGGAAATTCATGATAATCTGTTTAAATCACCATTGAGCAGCGGCATTATGAGGGCTTAGACTTAAACTGCAGTGGCAAATTTAGATGACAGAGAAATAAAAACCGTGCACAAGGGAGCTGAAAGGCCACAGACTTCACTTTGAGGCAGACCAAGAAGACAATGGAAAGATAATATCTAGACAGATCTACAAACACTTGGTGTCACCAACTGGAAAGAGAAGGCAAACAAGACAGATGAATGGAGGCGGGTGATTTCTGCACCTTGGGGCCTGTTTTTTGACCCTCAGTATGGTCATCAGTCAGTTTAGGTTTACGTTCTGTTTAAATAACGATAATTAATAATGCATATAAGGAGGTTTATTTAATATAATATAATAAATAAATATAACTGACAAAAATACATTTTTTAAACGCCAAAGAACATAAAAACTATATATTGTAATTAACTAAGTATAATATAACTAACATTAACATCGTTGTTTAAATTACTATACTACCCTACTTGTTTACATTTTCAACATCGACAGCGGCCAGGATAGTTCCACCAGACCATTAAAATAACGCTTATTAACAATGCATCAATGTCCGTCAAATAAATGTACAGGAAATATATTTATTTATGTTTGGAGACAAATTTCGTGGAACAAATAAACAGTAATAACAACATTTAAAGACAAAAAAGTAGCAAAACAATTAATGAAAACCTCCACTGTCGTCACATGTAGCGTCCATCTTGCTTTTGTTTTTTCTGTGGCTAGGAGGCGGTTTTCTTCACTTGAGGGCTTGGGGCTTGATTCAACTTGTTTGGAAAGGAAAGACGACCAGGAAGAGCACTGGCTACTAGTGGCGATGAAACCTGGACGTTCAGGCACTTAGCCACCCCCCCCCCTAAATAAAACTGTGTATTGGCCGAGTGCCCCCGCCCCCAATAATGTTTTACTGAGCAGCCCCTTCCCCATTATATACAGCAATTTTCCTGTGTGAGTTCCGGGGCCCTACTATGGGGAAAACAAGAATAGACCCACTGCCTCCCCATCAAGCATGTTGTAAGAGTCGACTAATTGGGGAGTGCCTTTAAAGTCGATGTGCCTTCAGCCTCTATGCCCCCCCCCCCACGCCCCAAAAAAAATTGTTTTAGAGCGGGGACCAAAAAGGATTCAAGCCTTGTTAAAGTGCAGGCATAAAATTAATAAATATTATTATTACAGTGTATTATAATTGTTGAGCAATTAAAACCTGGTGTGAGTCCGTCCCTCGACCCACGTCCGGCTGCATAAATCTGGAGCTGGCCGTGCCTGGACCCTTGAAAATCATTTGGGTTGGTGTGGGGGAGGGGGGGTTCAGAGGCCCTCCCTGTGTTTTCTCTGTAGAGGCGCGACTATCCACTATGGTAAATTCGGATGTGCAGATGTCAAGCTTGGTCTCCACTGCGATTTTTAAAAAAAACATGTGTGTGCCAACGGGACATGAACGATACAGATATCTAGATGGATTCGTGTAAACAAAATGACGTGTGCTGTTTTTAAGGTGACCATAATTTCCAGTTCCATTTCCTTTTGAGAAAAAAAAAATCAAAAACTCGACTAAGTTCAACCTGCTGCTAGCTAGCTGAAGCTGCCAACAGTCTCCGGCTATATTTATGGTCTTGTTTATTTGCACCACTTTCGTGGCTAAAGTTCTGGTATTTGCGCGCGTCTCTGGACTTAATGCTTCTTTCCTCCAAGTCAGACCGCTGATTCCCTATCCTGTTGTCAACTGTGTTCTTCTTGCCCTTTCTTTTCTGATGTTTTCTCCTTGGTTTCAGCTCCCTTTGATTTGGCCACGTGTATATCGTCGGAGAGCGAGCTTCTCAACATAACGTCCTTTGGACCATCATTTATAGTTATAAAATTTTTAGTATTTTACTTTGCCAAAAAGTACTGAAAACAGTTACAGATTAAGAACTGAACGTCGGAAAAAAACCCTCATATTAAATGCATCGATGACAAGAATGGTCCTGAAATCCAGTGTTCTAACGGGAAAGATTTTTCTTAAAGCGTGTTGGTTTATCTCCGAGCGAGGATACACACTACTATCTAGGACTAACACACACACACAGTCTAATTACGGATATAAATCTATATCTAGCACCGAAACTAACCACTGAGATGCACCGAAACCGTGAAGTAGCCACTCCATCCCTTTCCAACACATCAGCCTGAAAGGTATGTTGCGTTAACAGGCCATGAACAACTTTTTTTTAAAATACGTTTATTAGTTGAAAACATGGTTTACAATATTTCATATACATTAACAAAAGCAAAAATACTAAAATGGTAAAAAATTATGACGTGGTACCTATATTCCACCAACATTTGGAAGAGAGTAGAACAAAGCAGGAGACAGAAAATGAAGCGGGTAAGGAAAGGAGGGGCCATTTCTAATTATTTGTTGGTGGTGGTAGCCGGTTATGATGGTGGTGATGATGATAGGGTTGCATCATATATACATTTTTACAGAATTTATAAAAACAAATTAAGGGTGGTGATAATAATGCATATTCAAACTGGCCTCACATCTCACCAGCATTTGACAGAGAAGGAGAAAGGGAGGAGGAAAAGGACTGGGGGGGGGGGGGGCATGAACAACTGCAACGGCGATGTATGGCTGACGAGGTCGGAAAGCTAAGAAAGGCCGCCTCTAGCTAGACAAGCCCTTTTATCAACTTCTGATCCCCCCCCCCCCCTTTTTTTTTTCCTCTCCCCCAAACTGGCCAGTTTTTAGTCCGTGAGTGCAGACTGACCAATATTAACAGATCTTCTTTGGCACCCTGCCACAATAGTATGGATTTGATTTTATACTGAAAGGTGAGATAACAAACAGAATGCACATTACGTGACGACACTTAAGCAAACTGTCCAAAAACATCAATTAGCAAAATACTCGCAGCTGACACCAGCAAATGGTATATACCTTATATTGTATTGAACAGATAGTATTTTAAGTACTCGAATGTTAGAATGTCCAAAATGATACGCCATTTTACGTATAGGGTATCCAGTAAAAGGACCCCTCTTCACGCCTTCATGCGTATTGGGCATATAGGGCCAGGCTTATATTTGATAGATCAATCGGTACTCGACGGGTGACGGGGTTAGCACCACACCGGCCGCAATTACTTCCCAGGACTTTTAACTGGTACACATTTAAGGCTGGGTCGACATGGGAGCCAAAGTCATATTTGAAAAAAAAGTGCATCATCGTCCGGATCTGAGCCCACGACCTTCTGATCCACAAGCCAGGTTCTAGCCCTTATATCTAGCCCCAACATGGTATATACTGTTAATGGTTTTTTAACTTTTCCTTGCATATGTTAAAACTTAAATAAATTACCTTTTTTTTTACATATATTTTTGAACTTTATGATTGGTACTCCGTGGGTGATGTGGTCAACGTCGCACCGACCGCTTTTACATCCCAGGACTTACACACATATTCATTTGGTAAACGCAGCAGCATTTAGTAATTGATTTAGAGATAAGTGAGGACTACCATAATAATGCTTCGCACAGATTTATAACTCCAAAGTGTAAAACGACTAACCACTCGCTTTCTGTATAGCATTAAATAAAGTCGCCTTTACTTTTGTTCCGGGACACGCAGGCTTCGATGGAAATGAAAGAGCTGACAGGTTGGCTGGATCCGCTATCACTACCGACGGTCAGCCTATGGATCATGCTGATATTATTAATGCCCTCAGAGAAATGGGAAGGATGGAGGACTTTGGTGGCAGTGAATCCATATCAGTCGCCAGAATGGCAGACTTGGGAATTAAGATCGGCATAGCAAAAAAAAAAAAAAAACGAGGCGCACACCAGACACGCCAGAAGACCTGTTAATCAACATAGAACTGGTACTATTAGTTATCGGACGTTTGGGTTCATAGTGAGGGGAGGATCTGAGCACCTATGGACATGTCCGGAGTGCAATGATGATAACCCAACTAACTAGCTAACTAAATAACTAACTAATTAAATAAACATGTTCTTAGTGCACTTGTATCCATGGCGAGGCGCAGACGCCGTCTAGAGGTGACAGGTTAAATTCCCGGCACGGTAATTATAGCCTTCGATTTTTATGTTGTCTAGTGTGTTCTTCTATCTTTCTACTTCTTTCTATGAGTGCCGATCAATACACTTTCTGTTACTTGATTAATTCATAATGTTTAGCATTAAATGCCGTGTGTCACTGTCTAAGCCTTTTTAAAGTTTGTAATAATAATAATGAGAAGATAAAAAAAAAATTAATAATAATAATGGGCTGAATGGTAATTGAATAGATCTGAGATAAAATTAAATGCAGGCTCAACTACCACATGTATAAAATAAAGACTGTACAGTCCCCACAGTGTGCCTGTCAGAGAGGACCACAAAACATCTGAGCACATTCTGCAGACCTGGCCACTTTACTTAGGACTTAGAAAAGAAACCTGGCCTCAAGAGCAAAATGCGCAGAGCAAGCTACGGGGAACCATGAAGGACCTGCAGCTGACATGCGAGTTCATAGAGGCAACCCACCTGATGGCCTGTTAGCTTTAAGAAGTCTTCGACAATTACGGCATAGGATTTTAGGACCAGTTTTAATGCCAA